TGAAAAAAATCTAAGAAAATTTATTAAAGTCAAGTGATTATGAAAAAATTATTTCGAAGTTCCTTTTTAAAATTTTCCTGCATAGTTTCTTAACTCCCGTATTTCAGAAAATTTTAGTAGAAAATTTAAAAACCTGTCAGATCACTTTCCCTATTAATATTCAGAAAAATTGGAAAGATCTGCAGTTTATGCATTTTGGCAGTATTTCTTGTTCTATACCACTTTCAATCAATACATCAAAATGCTTTATTTAACAAATAAATATACATTCTTATGATAAATTAAGTTATGAATAATTGTATGCTAAATTCTGGTCACTGTTAGACTTTATTGTGAATTGTATCATTGCCAAACCTGTTTCCCTACTTCAAAGAAGTTTGGGCTATAAAGCTACTCAGAGACCCAAGAACTCTGTGTGTGTGTGCACACGTGTGTACGTGTGTGTGTTTGGAAAAGCAAACTTAAAACTATTACTGTTTGAAGTGCACTGCAGAAATGACTGAAGGTATACTGATCTTTGTAGTGCACATGTAAATAGTAAAACTTGAGCAACCACTGGCTTGCTGCCAGCTAATTCAGCCATGTTCAACTATATCTTTGGATAAAGACTCCACCTATAAGTTAACTTTTAAAAATTTGTGCTATAACAACATTATCAATATGTCTTTAACTTTCTGGACACATTAAGAAGTGTTTTTAAAGTATAAAATAACCACACAATTAGTTTACTTATTTAAGAACAAGTAAGCCTCTTAAATGGCTTGTACCAAAATAAATAAATAGCTATAGAATATGTGATATGATTTTAGGAAATGTATTAAATCAGGATCAACAAAATCCTGGATTTTATTAAATTAAGCAACTGAGAATGGACTAGGAGCTTCCAGTTTGAGAAAGACAAATATTTTGAGATATTTACGAATTCTGGAACATCCACATTTGACTTCTCTTTTTGTTCTCTGGCTTAAAATTTTCGGGAAAAAATCAGTAACTTAAAAGCATTATCGAGAAAACCAATGACATAAGTTTTGATAAAAATGTCATTTATCAAGTAGAAATACTAAAATTGATGGAATTCATGTGGGATTTGAATATACATGTGGAAAAAATACAGGCCCATTTCCAGCATAATTTAAATCAACTTTGGTACTTATGAAACAAGATATTTATGAAACAATTTATGACACAAGAAATCATATTTTTTAGTTTACTTGCAATTTACCTTATACCAAAATTGATTAGATAATACTTGAATATTAGTTCCATGTATTAACAGATTATCACTTCAATAAATAGGCACAAATGTGAAAACTTTTGCCATAAATGAGTTTGTCTAAGAAATCTAATTGTCCCACTACCATCTTAATCAAATTTTATTACATATTGAAAATGCTTTGATTTTTTATTTGATTTCAAACATATAATGACTATAATTTTTTAAGCATATGCAAATTACAAATCAAGTCAAGCCATTAAAATGTCATCTGGAATAAGCATAGTTCATTACATATAAGAACATGACTCAGAGATTCCTAGATAAATTTACTTTCTAACCCTATAAACCATCATTTCTCAAAATGTATTTTGGAAATTCTAAGACTCTTTCAGTGAGATATTAACAGATAATGAGTGGAGAAAAAAGGTGAGGGTTATGTCATCAAGTGATTTTTCTTAATACAAGTTTTTCAGGGCCTTGTATATACAAATTATTACTGTGAATCAGAGAGAGAGAGAGGAGATTTAACAAAAATTTGCCACTTTCACTTATTTTCATTTTATAGTAGTATACAGCATAGGACATCGGAGTTGACAGAAAGTTTAGAAATTATGTAGTTCATTTTTCAACCAGTGAACAGCCCTTCTACTTGCATTGATTCCTATAAATTGTTTTTCATTGCAAGAGGAAAAAAATTAGGTTTGGTTGAACCCAAAATATTATTTCTGGGTTACTTTACTTAGTAGGGCAAAGGACCAGCAAAGAAAAATCAACTTGCTGGTGAAGAATCCTCTATAATGGATTTCTTTATCAATAAGAGACTTTCTCCATATTATTCTTTGTGGAGTATGTAATAAGCTATGCAAATGTAGAAAAGTAATAGAAGACTTCATATGAGCAAAATAATTTTGAAGGGAGGCTTGTTTGGTTACTGTTTGTCCCCAAAATTATTATCCTAGGATAATTTAAAGTTATAAGTTAAAAGTCTATTTACCCAAGTTTGTTGACTTAAGTGGTTCACTGAGATTTCATTGGTTAAGGCTGTAATAGAGAATTTTTCTATTTTGGGACTGTCTATAGATATGATTGGGTCTGGAGGTGAGAGATTTGTTTAAGATAGGAATTTAACTGATAACATTTAAATGGTCATATCACTCTATTCATACTTTTGTTGTACAGCCAATACAGATTCATATTCTTCTTAGACCTCCTGGTGGTCTTTTAAATATAAATGATGTTCTATAGATCTGATTTTACCTAATTTTTTTTTTTTTTTTTTTTTTTTTTTTTTTTTTTTTTTCCGGCAACGGATCGCAACCCTCAGTGTTGCCCCCGTACCGGACCGGGGACCGGCAACGGGATCGCAAGCCTCGGCGTTGCTCCCACGCCTCGCTCAGCCAGTGAGCGGGAGCCGGTCTGTACGTGGGATCCAAACCCTCGGACGGGAGCGCTGCCGCGCTTCCCAAGCGGCGCACTATCCAGTGCGCCACCGGGCCGGCCATGATTTTACCTAATTTTTAAACCATTGCTAGGAAGAAAGGCACTTTTGCAAACAGTGTTAAGCCAATATGCCAAAGGCCAAATCCAGCCCACTGCCTGTTTTGTAAATAAGGTTTTATTGAAACACAGCCACACTCATTTGTGTATGCATTGTCTACAGCTGCTACAGTCGCAGAAGTGTGGCAGAACAATAGTTAGCATATGGGCTGCAAAGTCTACAATATTGACTACTGGACCCTTTACAGAAAAAGTTTGCCAACTACTGCCAGTGTATCACATTACTACCTAGTAATCAGAATTTAAGGTAGCTTCCATAGGAGCTTGCTATCCAGAAAAACAGTATACATATTAGAAAATGCATATATATGTTTGTATGTGTGTATATCTATATATCTACATCTATATGTGCATGTGTTTAAACTTCTTTCTCAATTGATGCTATTCATATTTAACATACTATTTGCCACTGTAACATCAACATGAAACTTTTTTTGAGAAACTTTCTAAACACTCGATTTAGTTAATATTCTTTCAGTACATACAATTTTTCGGTGCTGGGCAGGGCTTTTTATTCCCTTGCCTTTAGAGAAAATAAATATGTTTACCTGAGAATATGCCTTGAGGTACAAACAATTCCAGAGTTGTACTTTAATAGGCATTTATACTTGACTATATTTCACATTCACTTCTCAGAGGCACTCACCTGGTTTTATATATCATTCAATTTATATTAACATGGTATTTATATTCCTCATTTTCAAATTTGACTTGGTTAGTCCAATCATTATTAAAATGTGACTACTAAGTAACAAATTGTCTCACTTTATTGAATAGTTTATCTAAATTTGCTAGCATATTTAGCAGTCATGTAATGTAAGCTCTTTATATGTATTTTTATCCAAGATTTTCTTACTCCTTTTTCAAATGTGTTTTTCCTTTTTATCTTACTTTAATTAATCAACTTTCACTTAAAATTTGTTGCTAACAAGAATGATCTGATGTACAATGAGACTTTTTCAGGTCAGAGAGTAATCAAAAATTAAAACATTAAGAATTAAAACATTGCCTCAGGGGAAGATTCTGTAACTTCTTATTACACTGGTACATTTTCCCCTTTTCCTTTTTGCTATTTTAAAAATCAGGTAAGTATTAAAATATCTATTTTTTAATAGGCACACTTTCGTCTCGATATTTTTTACTGCAGTTTTGAAGTTGTGATCTTAAGTAAGCGGTATGTATGTGTATATTTCTGTTCCTACCTAAACACACAGTGTTTGTGAATTTACATGACAACATTTTGTAATGGATACCCACTTGAGCCCACTAAAGCTTATTTTTCTCATTATGTAGATTTGTAGTATATAATTGAGATTTTGTTTTTTCTGAATATATATATTTTTTATGAGACATGGAATTTTTCTATACAATCTCTTTTAATAAAAATTATGAATGTATCATAAAATCACTTTTTCATGTTTGCTAGGATTTGCTAGCTGAATTTAGTTCTTGTTCTTGCCAAAGTTTTCAAAGACCCTCTTGATATCTACAATTGATGTGTTTTGAGGTAGCACCTGTTATAGAGGGCATTCATCTCATTTTGTAATAGGCATACCATCACACTTTCTCACCTCCCTACATTCTGGTTTTCTAGTTTTGCTTGGTTTTGTTTTTTCTGAATTTACTTTGTGCCTTTACTGGCATGGTATGTTATCAGGAGTATTATTATAAGAGCCTCTTTCTTGATTCTAGTTCTAGAAAATTCAAGTTTAAAAGTTCCTGATAACTGTATCCACATGTCTGCTTGAGGCAACCTTCTTTAATACATAGCCCAATTTTATAATAGTTTCTAAATGCAGTTCAAATTGCATTTGAAACCAATTAGACTTACAATTTTATTACCAGTAATTAAATCAAATAATGATGAATTAAAAGCCAAAGTTCTTATACTACTGCTATTGTCAAATTTGTGTGCTGTCAAATATATTCTCCTAGATATACATGCACCGGAAAGTGTTTTCTAGCTAGTGATAATTTGCCATCTTCCCTTTAAATTCATTTACATTTTATTCAGATTAAAATTATTTTACATGTTTAATAATCACTTTTATTTACCAAATTGCATACTTTATATAAATCTAAAAATAATATGACATTTAATTTGTACATACTACCTTGAGTGAAAATAATATATCAGCTTAGAGTTTTTTCTTTTATACATCCTGTAAGTAGGACTCAGAAGTGAGAACTGAACATTAATTTTATGGGTTTTTTTTCTACTCGATAGGTGCTATGGATATAGAGGAGAGAAATCGCCAAATGAAAATTAACAAATACAAACAGGTAGCCGGATCAGATCCCAGACTGGAACAAGATTACCATTCTAAGGCAAGACATTTTTTTTTTTAAAGTTGTAAAATAATCAATTAATCATATGACACCATTAGATTCTTTTAAACTACTGAATGCACATAGTCAGACACAAACATGTAATGCAATGGTCCCAGGATATTATGAAGTGCTAAAAGTTATGTGTTTATATACCAGCTCTTAAGGATAGAATATGCCTTTTAAAATAAATAAATAAGCACATTATTATATAATATAGGAGACTATAGACCTGAACAGCAAATCTTTTTTAGAAGTTTTCATTTTACAAAACCTATAACCCCTCAAAAATATTTAGGAAGAAGTATTGTTATCTTCTCATGGTTTTCTTACATATAGATTGTTTCCCCATTTTATAGGATTTTAATTGGATCTGGTTTATTATTGAGTTATTGGAACAAAATACAAATTCATGAGGTGTTAGAGTTCAAAAGGTCTTTTGGTAAGAATACTTTGGAACTACTTTTGGGAATAATTTGAGGTATGAGGTCTAACAAGGGAGGAAATGAAGAGTATTATCTCATTGTTCTTGTTCTTCATCACCTTTGTATTTTCAAGACATTTTAGGTTCATTACATTATTTATTGCCAAAATCATAAAAGATTTTCCTCTGTTGTACCTATTTAAGGTTTAACAAAAGAATGAAAATAGCAAAGCTTACTCATAACATTTAGCTATTATGTGCAGTATGATTTAGTAATTTAATCATTACAATCGTGATATCTGTGGTCTCTGTGTATTAGAGAAAAGCAGTTTGGATTTTTATATACTTAGGTCTATTTTATCTTTACATACTTAACCTTTAGTTTCTCTCCATTATTAAGTAAGGAAAAAGTGGCTATGTTGGATATGCATATGTAGTAGGTAGTATCAGTTTTAGTTTCTACACTATAATAACCTAGAGGAAGCAGAGATTCTGCTATAAGTATCTTCTTCTAAACTACTGATCTCTTCCCTCAGTATTACATGAATACTGACCTGGTGAATACAAGATTGTTCATCACAGAATCATGGTGTATGGGAAGTGGCACAGGCCTAAAGTCAGAGAGAAGTAAATTTAAGGCAAATAAAAGTAGCTTTATCTCTACTCCATAGGTTCCAAATTCCTAAACATGATTTTACTACAATTAAAATATGAATAACTTCAAATAGGTATGGTGAATTTCACGGAGAATAGTTCTGTAATGACAATATTTCAGATACACCCCTAACCTTCTGAGCCAGATTTCAGAAGTGATATGTTCGTATTTTTTTTGTATTTCTGCCTAGGGCTAAACAGATACATGTTAACTTTTGTAGCATTTGTTATGCTCTGATCTCTCATTCATTTTATGTGATGAAAAGACTAAGGCATGAAGTCCTAACATATCAAGATATTAAAATTTCTTTAAAAATGTTTTCAGAGGGGCCGGCCTGGTGGCGCACTGCTATAGTGCGCCACTTGGGAGCGTGGTGGCGCTCCCGCTGAGGGTTCGGATCCCACATACAGACCGGTTCCCGCTCACTGGCTGAGCAAGGCGCGGGAGCAACACCGAGGGTTGCGATCCCGTTGCCGGTCCCGGTCCGGTACGGGGGCAACACTGAGGGTTGCGATCCGTTGCCGGACACGGAAAAAGACAAAAAGGAAAAAAAAATGTTTTCAGATAACACGTTTGTGCGCACTGCTATAGTGCGCCACTTGGGAGCGTGGTGGCGCTCCCGCTGAGGGTTCGGATCCCACATACAGACCGGTTCCCGCTCACTGGCTGAGCAAGGCGCGGGAGCAACACCGAGGGTTGCGATCCCGTTGCCGGTCCCGGTCCGGTACGGGGGCAACACTGAGGGTTGCGATCCGTTGCCGGACACGGAAAAAGACAAAAAGGAAAAAAAAATGTTTTCAGATAACACGTTTGTTTATTTATATCCTACTATGCTTCAGGAAGGAATGCAGATGATTTATAAAAATACATATAATACTGTCAATAATATTGTCAATGAAAAAAAGACTACCAAGAGAAAATAGGGTAAAACAAAGTAACTCCAGAAGTAAAGTTTTTGAGCAGAATGCATAGAGTGAGATCCTCTACATCTGTTACATGTGGGACATACATTTCAACCATGAGCTTCCTAACAAGCAGCAAAGGCAGAAAGGGAAACTTAATCAATTCTCTGATTTACATCGCTCATACTATAAAAACAAGTTTCTTAGAAGCAACAGCAATGATTCTTGTTATGGATACCTGACAGAAATTTATCACACGGGAATAGACTAAAGGAATATTATAGACATGGCTAAGAACTTTTTTAAAAAAAGTTTTGATTCCACTCTAATTTATGAATAAATGAATGCTTAAGGCTTCATAGTTTTATAATTTTGACACCAATCATTTTAGGTTGGGAAAAAAATTGAAGTGTTGTTACAGGACTAATTATACTAAGCAATACAATTTCCTAGGTATTCTCTAAGGCAGTGGTTTCCAAAGTGTAGTCCCAGACCAGCATCACCTGGATAGTTTTAGAAATGCAATTCTCTAGGCTCCTTGCAGACCCACGGAATCAAATCTCTGGGATTGGGGTCTCTGTGTTTGAACAAGCCTATTAGGTGATTTTGATGTAGACTAAAGTTTGAGAACTACTGTTCTACAGTGAACCAGTTGTAAATTTAACTTTTAGTTATCTGAGTCAGTTGACTTCCTCAATTACGGTTTTAGCTAGAAGCCAGAGCTGAATGGTGTCATCAAAAAATGGAGACTCGGGCCGGCCCAGTGGCGCACTGGAGAGTGTGCCGCTTGGGAGCGCAGCAGCGCTCCCGCCGAGGGTTCGGATCCCATGTGGAGACCGGTTCCCGCTCACTGGCTGAGCGCGGTGCGGGCGCAACACCAAGGGTTGCGATCCCGTTGCCGGTCAGTAAAAAAGACAAAAAGGAAAAAAAAAATGGAGACTTTATTTTGAAAATAAATGGTCTGACAACTTTATAAGTCCTCTCATAATCTCTACCAAATACTTTCACTACATATCAAATACTTATGATTCTGTTTTCTAAGGCTAGGATTATACAGCCAGCTTACCAAAAAAATAATCAAGTCATCAATGTAAAACTTTTTAAAAGGGTCCAAAATACAAACTTATTTTGTTACCACTGCAAATTATTTCCTGATGTGGAACTATCTTTGCTGGGTCGTCTTTCTCTCCATCATTCCTAGGTTGATCTTCCTCTCTTCTGAGTCAAAGAGAAAATTACAGAGGTTTCTTCTTCAATCAAGGGCATATATAAAGTTGTAATTAATTTCCATACTAACGGCCCCTAGTTTAAAATTTTCAACACCATTCCTCTCTTTTTGATGAGGGATATTTAGCTTATATTTCCATTCCGTACTTCCTTATTCTGACAGCAAGTGGCAATGATAGACCCTGCTATTGAGTGGTCTTTTAATACATCATATCTAATTCCTGAAAAAAATTATTTACTAGATAAGGAAACTAAAATATATAAAGGTTAAGTATTCTACTCAAGTTCACATAGCTAATAAGTCATGGAAATTATTATTTGTAGCTAATCCAGTTTTTCAAATTTGAGATAAATGAAGTGAAATCCAAAACCTCAGACATATGGAGCTTATGCTATATTTCTGCATTATATTCTTCCACTGAAGCTATTGTGAAGCTTTATGTGGAATAATTGAGTGTTAGCCTTATTTTTTCTATACAGTCCACATTCTAAATGGCATTGCCTCCCTGAATTTCAGAAGACTTCTGCATTGGTATTTGTAGATAGTTCTTAATAAAATTTAAAAAATCTTTTAAGTAATTCACTTTGAAAGCATCTATATAGCAATGCCTATTAAGTTACTGTCTTTCTAAAAATATTTTAACTATATTATGAAATTTGAAAGTAGAGAGTCTATTTTTAATAGGAGCAGCTGAAGACATATGCAGACATGATTCCTCAGGAGTATTCCCTCAAAATAGAATTTAGCTATGTAGTCAATACACTATTTTATGCCTATTGCACTGTCTTTATCCCAGCTTCAGTGTGATTCATCTATACTGTTCTCAGTAGTTATTTAAGGATCAATACACAGTGTACACATGTATCAAAATGTTACACTGTACCCCATAATTATGTACAATTATTACATGTTAATTAAAAATAAACTAATAAAAATCAAGATCATTAAACTTGCAAATAAGAGCAGCAATATTCAATATGGTTCTAGGAGTACAAGAGATTAGTGGTAATCTTACCAAGGCCTAATTAAAAAAGACTTTAGTCCCACTTACAAAATCGACAAATGGCTGTATAGCCTAATTAATTGAGAGTCGTAGATTGAAATGAAAAAGGGCGAAGTTGTATTTTAGAAGGCTTTATGTTCTATTTTCACTTTTATAGTTTTTTAATTAATGTTTGTGAGAGTAGATTTCTTATTTATATTATATTAAGCATCCATCACACTAGAATTTGAAAGAAACTAAAAAATGCTTATATGTATTTATATAATTTCTTCTTTTATCTCTAAGATAAATAAAGGAAGGAGTGATTAATATATCATCAGGGAGAAGGAGCCATTGAAAGTATAATTTCTTGCTATTGGTGTGCATTATCAGTAATTACAGTAGCAGCCAGAGTCATAGAACTCCTAAAATCTTTATTACAGTAATAAAGATATATGGGCAGTTTTCTTAATCATGCTTCAATTTATTTTTAGTAAAATAAATGATTAAATATAAACTATAGAGTAGTATTAAGAGTGTGGACTCCAGAACCAAACTGCCTGGATTCAATTTCTACCTCTCCCACTGTCTGTATGACCGTGGGCAAGTTACTTAACATCTTGTGCTTCTTTTTCTTATTCCGTAATGTGTGCTAATAATAGTACCAACCTTAGGAGATTGTTTTCAAGATTAAGTCTATTACTTACATGCATAACTCTTTGAACAGAGCTTGGTACATAATAAGCAATCAGTAAATGTTAACTGTGACATGATAATGGTGGTGGTGGTGGCGGTGATGATGATGATGA